GGAAACCAAAAAGGGTGTTACATGCAATAGTGGACAAGGACAAAAAAGACAGCAAAAAAAAAAGGTCCACATTGTCTGCCTCGTTTAAAAACTACTAAAACCTTTCTGCTTGCACCTTATCACCTCCCTCTCACCTCATTTTCGTCTGTTTTCCACTTTTTGTTAAATCTGTGTGTGTACGTGTGTTGCTGCTTTTAATAGCATCACCATGGAAGTGGGGAGAGGTTGCTAGGTAACAGGCTGGCGTCTAAAACGGTGTTTGATTGGCGGCAGCATGGACAGTAGAGGAACAGAGAAGGTTTGTATGTCCCCAGCATCTGTTAATGGGTCAAGCTAAGCTGCTACAGCTGCTGCTTAGAACATATTTCAATAATGCCAAAGAAGCTAAGATAATCAGGATGTTTCTGTGAAAGGGGCTCCTCCATATGCCTTTATGACAGCTGCAGGATCAGGGAGCCTCTACAGAAATGCATGACGTGGAGAAAAACAGCAGACTTGGAAAAGACATGACATCATAGGGCGCAGTGGTGGCGCCTGGTGGATAAAGTCTGCTACTGCAAGAACCTTTGTCTGGCGAGATAAGGAATATTGGCAAAATATGTACATCAATACAAGATATTTAATAATTACCCGTTAGAAGTAAGATTTTAAAAAATGACTTTATTTTGGGTTTTTAAGGTGTCGTAATTAATGTTTTCTCCAACTTTTTGAGATTTCTTTGGGCCCTGACATTTTTAGCCATTTTTAACCATCTTTTATGAGAACGTATTATGTACTGGTAGATCAAAAGAACTGATATTTATAGCTAATAAAAATATCTCAGTAGACCTAGTAGGTCTTTTAGATTTTGGGATTTACATCGCTGGTAACAACATTTTATTTTATATCTTTCAAAAAGAATACCCTATCCAGATACAAATCATGTTGCACAGATAGACTGATCTAAATATTGAGTCTTAAATTGGTTGTGTACTAGCATATCTGTCTTTCTTTTTTTTCTTGTCTTGAGTTGCAAAGCATGAACATTTTATGCAGTAGATTATAGTTACATTGAAAAAATAAACATTTCACTAATATTTAGGTACTGGACACAAGCTAAGACTAAAACAAGTCAAAAGTTGAAAGATTATCATAAAAAGTGAAGAGAAATTGATAAAGACAAATTTATGGTTACAGTGGAATGGAATATCTTTTCACTAATTCACTGATAAATTAATGCATGTAGTGCATGGAGTTCAATGTTTTGTTGCTATTTGTTCTGAAATCCACCTTTCAGGGATAACTTACTCAGACGAACCCTGATCAGTTACCCTACGTGGTGTGGTTAGTGGGACCTAGCTTATAACAAAACCGTAAATCAATAAAAATAAAAAAAGACTGTCTGAGAGACTGAGGTATTAATAGGTAGAAATCCAAATGAAACCACTTGCTTGATAACTGGGCAGCCAGGTGAAGCTATTCATCTAATCAGACACAAGCAGCCAGCCCCCAAAACAGCCAAAGACAGGCTGCAGGAAAGTTTAGGCCTCAGACATTTATGGTGTGTTCCGATCAGCTTCAGGCCCCGAAAAACCCGGCATACCTGGAGTTGATCCTTTAAATGCCATGAAAACAATTTAACTAGAAGAGTTTGGCGATAGAATCAACAGCCTCTGACTAATGAAGTGACAATAAACACAGGTGGTGAGAGTGAGGCCCTAAAAAAAAAAAGATTGTAGAAATTCTAGGTATAGCAAAGGATTTGAGAAGATCTCAAGATAATTTGTAAAATGATCCATTTTAGTGTATGCAAAACACTCTATATATTGAGGCAATTCGGAACCTTCTCATCCTGGTTTTACATACAGCTTACTCTACAAATAAGGCACAAAATGGTAAGAGGGGCCTCGAAAATAACATAGATTCAACCTGGAAAAAGTCACACAAAAGATGATAACCTATCCTGGAACCACTGTTCTTCACGTTTTAGATGTGTCTCTCCTTAAACAAACCGCATTGAAATGATTGAACCTCCTTGCAGCCACAAAATGCTACAAAACCCTTGATCACCTTTTCATTCAGGTCAGATGTGTGGAGGCAGGGAAACACCAAGATCATGTAAGGCAGGGACCCCTGAGGACCAGGGTTAATAAACCTTGGCATAGAGAATGATGTTATGGTTGACCAGATGAAATATGATAGCATTACAGATTGATAGTGCAAGAAAACCTATTTGCAGAACAACGTCTTTTTAAATCAGAGTCCTAGATGATTGGACATGGCTTAGGCTGCAGAAGTCAGACTTGAATATGGGTTGTGCAGGAAAGAGACCCTCCTGTCTCTAAGCTTTAGCAGGTGAAAGCAGCTGCTGTATTCTAGGATATTAGCACCAGTGGTGCCACACAAGGCTGTATTAGTTCACCTTTGCCCAGCATTATATTCAGTCAGGTTACCTTAAACTCCAATTTAAGGACCTACAGGTAGATATCCAGAGGAAGAGTGTAGGAGCTTTTTAATTTCTCATCAACTTAATATAGATCCAGATAAGGCAGTGGATCCCAGGTCAGTTGGAGATCACCTCCGGGTGGCCATGCATGGGAACCACATCCAGAAAATGAAATCATTCAAATACCTGGAGGTCCACATTAATAATGACCTCACTTTGATGATTAGCTGGAAAAAATATGAGGACAGCCTCTATTAAATGAACAGAGCACCCTGAGACAGTAAGTATCTTAATAGATCTCACTGATTCCTATTAGCCCTTAAATATATGAATAGACACTCAGCACATTTCCACAGATTCTTCACTAGCAAGTTTAGTTTTCTAATAGTGTATGTATAGGTTACATGAAAGGTTGGATATGTATTACAGTAGGGTTATTTAATCCTGGTCCTATGAGGGTCTCTGTCCTACATGATCTAGGTGTTTCCCTACCTCCACACACCTGACCTTAAAAGGGTGATCATCAGTTTTTTGCAGCATTTGATGGTTGCTGAGGAGATGCTGCAAACATTTGAATCAGGTGTGCTTAAGTAGAGACACATCTAAAACATGATAGAAAGTGGGCCATGATGGTTAGGGTTAAGAAAACCTATAAAATGTAGTTTGTAGTATAGTCACTGTTTATGGCAAATACAGAGACCTAGCCGCATTTACCATCTTCTAAATCCTAAAGGCCAGACTAAGATCTGCTACAGGAGACATAGACAGAAACCAGAATTTCAAAAGAATTGCACAGACGGGTCTAAAACTGAATTATTTGAACACCAGGACAGAGGACATGTTTAGAAAAAGCTAAATACAACATTCCATGAATAGAAACTCCTGCTGACTGGAAAGGAGAGAGGTGTAAGACTCATTTTTTGGGGGGGAAGTTTTGCTGCAGAAGGAATATACCAGTTTACCATTTTTGAATCCATTATAAAATTACCTTAAATCTAGGTTTGGTTGAGGAATGGGATTATTTCATGGGTGTACTCTATTTTGTTCCACAATGTGTAAGAGTCAATGATTTCACTTAAATGTCTGCACCTTTAAAGAAAACATGAGGGAATGATGGATCATTTGAACAGAACCTATTTTCTATATATAAGGACTCGTCTTATATTGATTAATACTTCTTCAATGTTGCTCTTTTAAATATCTAATATTGGAATTAAACCAAAAATGAACTTAATTACCCTTTCAACTGCAGTCCTATTTGTTAAACGGGTGCAGTTTGGCAGTAAAGTTCACACTCATGATCTAAATGACTTAAATAAGGAGAAACGTTCAGTTTATATTTAAAGAGAAGTCTGTTTCTAGCTTGTGTGTTTTATTTGGAACATCCCCAGATGAAAGTAAATAAGTACTACTACTCAGGTACAACAACTCATTTTCTTAGAAGAATAATAAAATAAAAATCCCAACAAATCTCTTAGTTTTTTAATTTTATTCACCTCTCATTCGTCTTATTTCATACAGATTCCTCACAAGCAAAGACAAAAGACAACACAAATGTTCCAGATAGCTGATTCCCAGGTTTTTGTTTTTCTTGCATTCTTCCCATATGAACAAGTATATACAGATAACACCTAGGAAGAGCACTGAAATAATAATAGTCGTATTAATAATTAACTCTTTCCCACAATAACAATTTTAATAAATACTCAGTGTTCTTAACCGCACAAAAAGGAGAATGATTATCGGGCTCACTCTAGTAGCAAAGGGATTGTCATCGATCCCAAAACAGTCGTAGATTTCCGCTCTCACACAAACACACCTTTTACCTAAAGAAATTTGCACAGTCAAGTAAATACCGCCTGTAGCCAATAAACTGTCCAGTGTATGAAAACAACCGATCAGAGTCTCTCCAGATGCTGAGGGTCAGAGGATCACGAGGCTGATGCGAGAATCAAGGAGGATCTGTCCGGTTCCGCGTCGGTGGGATGAGGAGGATGGATGCAGCGTGCCACTGACTGATGGAGGACGACTGTTTGGGATGTTAATGATGATCAAATGTGAAGCCACTTAAGAGGGAAGGAAGGAGCATCCTCTCAGTTAGTGTGCTGGCTACGTTTGGTGATTAACCCAAGCAAAAAGAAATCTTTCACCACAGCAGCATAAGTGAAAATACAACCTTTAATTTCAACCCATTGATTCAGTGGGATTCAGCGATGTTCCACCCTTAAGGACAGGTTGGAGCGCGTTTAGAGAGCGATCTTTAACCATTTTTATGAATCATTCAGATTCCTGGTTGTCCTTTTGTTCTCTGTTCAGCGAACCCCAGACATGTTCTATAAGATTTAGGTGTGGAGACTAAAATAGACATATGACATGGTAGCTTTATGTTTAAATTTGACCTGATTTTTTTGGACCAGTCCTGCTAAATAAACCTGATAAAGGCCCATCAGCTTACTGGTTAATTTTTTTTATCTTATATTTTAAAGAGTTCATCTTACAAGATTCCAAGTGTATTTGGAAAAGCTCCCTATTAAAATAAAACCAATATTACAGATCCTCATGCAGCCATGCCTTCATTACAGCACGCAGTTTTCTTATCTTCATCAGATACAGCTGCTGAACACCTTTATTGGAACAGAACCATCAGCAGAGTAATGTAGAGCTTGACAACATATTATTGATGCAAATCAGCCGTTTGATATACGAGTAAAAGGGAAGGGACACACCTATTTGAGTTCCAAGAAACTCAGGTTAACTCTGAAAAAGTGACAATATGAATAAAAAACACTTTAGGTTCATTGTTTTAAAGGGATCGTTCTGGGTGATAATATTTCGGTCATTTATTTGATTGTGTTTAGAACTAATTTTCCTTAACATCTTATTTTTTCGTAGCTATCTAAATGTTCTTTAAAGGATTGAATATTTCTACACCTTTCAGTGTTGGACTATGCTGCTGCAGCGAAATATTTCCCAATAAACACGGGCAGCTCTGCATGATATCATCCAGTATAAACTTTCATGCAATAGAAGCACACTTGGATGCTTGAATCAATAAAAAAAAAAAAACAGCGAACAGAGAGAAAATAAATTATTGGTTGTTTTCTTTTTATGCACAAGGCTGAAAATGTATCCTATCCTATCCTATTAAAGTTGTGAGGAAAAGCTTTCCGTCCTTCCAGGTTTAGAAAGATGAGGAGAAGGATGACCACCATGCAGAATAAAACATGCGCGATACAACGAGGAGCGTCGCTCCCCTCAGAAACAGAGCAGCTCCGAATGACAGCGAGAAACATAACATGAGGATTTCTGTTCTTCTCTTATGAGGCAAAGGGAAAGATGAGCAAAGAAATGCGTAGAGCTGCACAGACAGGAAACAGGAAGAGAGGATGGACTGAAATGACGTGGCTTTTTTTAGATGTTTAATGGCTTTAGAGAGAATCAGTCACCCAGCTGGAGAAGTTTAGCTGGACGAGCACAATGAGAATTTCTTCAACCCTCAGTGTTGTGCAGATTAAAGACCAAGGGCTGCTGGAAAGGTTTCATACCTTTTAAGGACACATGAGAGAAACAACTTTGACTAAGTGCAACATTATAGGAAGTTGGATTTACTAAGTGCACTCAGCTTAGAAAGGATGCCTGTTCCTTATGGAATGTTTCACTATAAGTACTGCTGTTCACAGAGAGTGGCCGGCTGCAGCTGCCCACATAGAGGAATTGTCGGGTCCAAACTCTGGCCCTCCATGTCCATGTCCATTAGGTTGGGTCGTGTGGTGCCGGCGCTGCTGTCTCCTGAACCAAGGGGGCTGTCGCAGCTGCTGCCCGGAGACGAGCTAAAGGTCCGGCACACGGAGCCACGCTTCCTGTGGTCCGCCCTTATCCGGGCCGGAGTGGGCCGCGGGCGAGGAGCGAACTCCAGAGTCTTGGGTCTCTCCAGGGGGCTGATGAGAAAGGGAGGGGCTGCGTCAGGGACAGGGGGAGCAGGAGCTCTACGCCGATGGGGGACGGGGTAGACTATGGAGGGGTCCGGGAGACGAGGGATGTCCAGTTTGTCTGGCTTTCCTGAGAATTAAATAAAAAGATTTACGTTATGTTATTCTGTTGAGACCTCAGCTAAAATGCACAGGTAGTCCACAGATATAAATTAAAAACACTAAAACAAAGACTGAGCCTCTATAGAGAAGACCTTGGAATACATATGAATGTAGAATGTGGCGTTAAGTATCTAGCATTTACTTAAAGTGCAGCTTGTGTTGAAGCAGTCAATGAAACATGCTGGGGGTTTATTTGATTTTCAGTGTATAAGGACCATTCTCTACAGCTTAGGAAAAGAAACAGAGTCAGAGTCTATTTGTTTTTTAAAGTAATGACTGTTCTTCCTGCTGGAAGTGCAACATAGCAGTCAAACAGAATAGAATTAAAAATATACTGATCCTCATAGGTGCTACGATAAAACGCCTACATGGTTTAGTTAGCCACCATCCATAAACCACCAACCCACACCTGCTTATTCTCAGATATTTAACTATTTAAACCCCGATACAGGCTTTTAGTTTGACATGAGCCTTTGTTTTAAGTGACATTTATCTTCTTATTGGAAGTGCAGTCTTAAATATGAAGGAAGCAGCTATAGATTAGAGAAGGCATGTCCAAAATTGATCCTCGAGGGCCACTGTCCTGCAGGTTTTAGAGGTTTCCCTGCTTTTGCACAGCTGATCTTCATTGCTAGCTGATTAACAGACTTTTATTAAACTGGAATCATCAGAATTAGCTGTGCTAAAGCTGAGAAACATTGAAAACCTGCAGGACAGCGATTAGGATAATGGTTAGAGGGCCTTCCAATCTCAAAGACGGCAAAAAATAAAATAAAACAGAAGAAATCCCCAACACGCAAACATTTTCTAAGTGATTTTAAATGTAAGGTTTCAGTTAACTATGAGGAAAAGCAAAAAGGATTTTTCATTCTTATGTAATACAATTCAAATAGTACGACACCTGCAGACAGATTTGAGGTAAAACCTTCTCAGATTGCATTTTTTTTCTTTCATGGATTAAGTATGTTGGTATCTATGAATGAAAACTTTTTACTGCTAAGTTCAACCAGGACTTCTTGGCAGAGGACAGCCTGCGTGTCAGAGGAGCACAGGAAGGATGCTGTGGTGGATTTTGGTTGCATACCTTTACATGTTGTGATGACTGGCGGTGGAGGCATCGGCATGCTCCCGTCGGACGGCGTTCTGCGGTGTCCCAAAGTCTGTGCTCGGGGCCGGATCGCACTGTCCGATGGCGTCCGTCTGTGTCCTCTGTTCAGCGCCATCGCTGCGGACACATGGGTGGGTGTAAGGGACTGGTTGGGCTCCTTCTTGAAGCTTTCCGCCCGTAGGTCTAGCAGAGGGTTGAGGGCAGGGGCCTGGGCTGACGGGGCCGTCGAGGGCGTTTTGATGCTGACCGACGGGGTCAGAGAGTAATCGTCCGAGTCCGAGGGAAGAAGGGACTTGGTGGAGTTGCAGTCAGACAGAGAGGACAGAGAGAGGAGTGTCACAGAGGGGGACGGGTCCATGCAGGCGAGCCCAGAGTCGTGGTGTCTGGAGAGCGTTAAGGAGAGGTTCCTGCTGGGAGGAGAGGTGCTGCGACGGAAACGGCCCGTCCGCTGGAAGAGACCCTCTTTCTTCTTTCTCTGCTCCTCTCGCTCCTGCTCATCCTGAAGCATCTGGGAACAAGATCAGTTTTACAGACGATGGATGAAGACTGCAGTGAAGCATACTTATGTGCAGCTGTCACCTATTCAATACCAACGCATAAGTGAAACCCTTTACTTTCGACATGACACCTTATAAATATGGTCTACCTGTGTAACGCACTGATCATCAGTACTGGTTCAACAGTGGTTTAAAACAAGAGTGTGACTGATTTTCACGGCATTATACATCTTTACACTCTCACTGATTTCTCTCTGGGATTTTTGTTGCTTTTTTCTCTTATTTTCACAGCTGCTGGTTTGCAGTCTTCTCAAAGAACATTTTGCAAGTTTAATTCATCTTTGCAACAGCCTTCACATTAAACATCACTTTGTGCAAGTCTCTCCAGAGATACTGATTTTGTAAGCGTTTGTTTTCATAAGTAAAAAAAAAATTTATTTTTTTTATTTTTTTTCCATAACAGAGCTCAGCATCTCTACCCCTTAATTTCATCTTGGCAGCTTTTGCAGAATATTCAGCTACTGGCTGCAAATTACTAAACTCAAAAGCAGATTTTCTAATCTCATGTGAGTCCAAATATAAATAAATATCAGATAAAATTGTTTCCTTTGTAAAAATAAAATAAAAAAATAAAAAAAACTATTCTTAATTATTTTAAAAAAAGCATAAAAAATGAATAACATGCTACCTTATAACCCAGATAGAAAGCTTAGTCATGAGTTTCAGCCTGTTTGATCTATCAGATTATCTTCCCGCTGTCTGCATCCCACCTGCTGTTTTCCCAGCTGCAGCAGGTCCTGTCCCAGACCAACAGAGGCAAGCAGGGAGGCGCAACCCAGTAGCAACATGTCGCTTTTCTTCCTCTGGCTGCAGCGGCGAACAGAGTCCTGGTTGCTTACACTCATGGAAGGGCTCGCAGACGGCAGGGAGAGGCTGGTACTGCTAATGGTAGCTGCCCCGCTCATCCCCAAGCCACCCCACAGGGGCCCAGAGTCCTCATTGGCACCATTACTGCTGGTCTCTGATGGGTGTAAGGACCCTGGTGATTCCTCAAACTCAGAGCCCTCCTCTGTTGTCAAGAAAGAAAGACTCAGATTGGGAGCAGATTTCTAGAAACAGAACAGAAGAGCTGAGACTCACCCATCTCATTCAGGCTGGAGAAGCCGGGCATCATGGGAGCATGTTTGGGTGACTTCCCCAGATTTGGGGCACTGGATGAATAAACTTTGCCTTCGCTGAGAGATTTGAGCCTGCATGAAGAAAGGCATTTTTAGTACCAAAAAAATAGGCAGTGACTCCTGGAAGTATTCACACCCTTGAAACTTTCCACAACTTGTCACTTTGCAACAGAGGGATCGCATTTTATAGAGAAAAAGTAGAGTAGCTCTAAAATAAATCCACCAGTGGCCAGTAATGTGTGGAGCCTCCATTCGTTAACCTTTGTTCCAGTAAGTCAGTCTAGAGGTCATTCAGGATATGTCTCTATCAGCTTCATGTATAAGGAAAAAAGTGTTTTTTTTTTTCTCATTCCTTCACAAAATCACTCCGTTTACACTGAGAGTAAATAACATATTTATCAGGAGTTACCATAACCGGTTGCACTGGATTTTATTTAAGGGTTTTAAAGTGAAAGTTGGCATATATTTTGATATTTCTTTAAAAAATACTTGTACGAATTACGTGTCCTTTGTCCTTCTCCTTCATAATGATGTGCTGCTTTATGTTGCTCTGTCACCCAATATCCCATAAAAATTAAAGCCTTACAAACATTTTCAGAAGGCATCTAAGTATTTAGGTTTGAACAAAAAAGCTGGATTAATTTACACTGAAAACCTAAAGCTTTCAGTCCAGATTATTACTTGACCGATAAAAAAACAGGGTTTGATGCAGCATTTCTGCTGCTTTAGTTGTTATTCATATGATCTATAATTTGAAACAACAATACTTAACTTTCAGCCATAGGTCAGGCATATATAAAATGTTAAAATGTTCTTTAAAGTAATTTTACTCCTTATATTATTAGTCATTAGTCATCATTAGTCAGACCAGTTTGAAGCAGCCCTTACTTCTCCTCTCCTCCAACCCGTTCCTTCTGGTGGGTGGAGCTCGGGCCCCAGGTGCGCCCTTTCTTCTTATTGGTTGTCAGGTCTTCCTTCTTGCACACAGCGCTTCGGCCCCATGTTTTACTGCCATCGCTCGGCGTCACTGAGACACACAAACGGCACTTAAACAACTTTATACTCAATATATTCCTCTAAGACTCTCAGGGGGTAGGTGCTCACGTCTGATGGCTCGCAGGCGGGGTAAAACCCCCGGACTGGCAGGAGGGGTGGTACTCTCACTCCTCTGGTTCTTCCTCTTGTCCACGCCGGGGGATGCCTGCACTGTGATCTTGTGCTCAAAACCTGTAGAGAATGGCATGCCTTAAACTTAACTTAAGATTCCTCCATCTGCATACAAAGTTAAAATTCAAACGTCAAGCCTCGTCAAAAAACTGGGAAATCTACAGTAAAATTTATCAGCAGCAAACCCTAGCGAAAATGACTGAAATCCTTTTTACAGCATCAGCCAATAGCATATATTTAAATTCTTCTCACCAAAGAGATAAAGCTTTTGAATGTACTATTCATAGTTCTGCAAAAAAAAAGATATTTCCTCTTGATTTAGTTCTTTGTTTGACTCAAACACTCCAGATCATCATTATTTTCACAACAAACCAAGAAAACATCAACTGAATCAAAATTTGGTTCCTAAAAGATGACTTAATCTATTAAAGAAAGAAAAACACCAACTGGCCTATCACTATGTGCTAAAAGTAATTGGGTTTAAAATAACACAACAGCACCTGAGCTATATTTAAATCTTAACTTTGACAAGGCCATACCAAAACATGTGCATTTTTAAGCCAATTGAGGCAGACTTGCAGGTGTGCTTTGTATTAACCTAAGACACAGACTGATGGATGGACATTCATAGAAGTCTATTTTATAGTTCCATTGAATCCAATAAATCATCCATGAACTAGAGAAGCAAGATGACTCAGATCCTGACACTACCACCATGTCTGAGTGTTGGGATGATGTTTCTCTTCTCTTGATGTGGAGGGGGGTATATCCTCCAAAATGTTCAAACTTTCTCTCTTGGGTTTAGATCATGTTTTCCTCACAATATTATGGATCATCAACTTTGTTTGATGATCCATAGGTCAAGGCGTGTTAGGGTCTGGATTTGGCTGGTAAATTTACCAAAAACAATCAATGACAATCAATGGCATCAATGACTGTTAATTCATGATTTAAAAACAGGAAAACTCATTTGAAAAACAAAGTTTTACGAATGTTATCTTTGAGTCATGAGTCAAATTAAAAGTGAATGGAACGAAAAATCAGAAACAGCAAAATAAAAAAGAAGAAATATGTATTTTTTACGCTTAGAGTAGTTAAGTCAGTGTTTAGCGATAAAAATAACCCCAGTAAGAAGTATAATAAACGCAGTTGATCTTTAGGTTTGTGGACTCATTGAAACAAATGCAGTTCCCATCCCAACCCACCAGAGGGCAGACTGATGCAGTTGCTATCCCTGCCCAGCTTCAGCAGCCTGCTCTTCTTGAAGTGGCCCTTCCTTTTCTTGACACTGGGCTTTTCCTGGTACATCTGGTGGATGAGGATGTTCAGCTCTCTCTCCACAATGTCAAACTCCCTCTCCGCCAGCTCCTGCTCCCTCTTCTTTAGCTGCTCCTCCTGCTCCTTCTGCTCCTCCGCTGCCCGGGTCAATGCCTCCTCCCAGGATCTCAGCTCCTGCAGACAGAATAGAAAGAAGACAAGGGAGGAGGATGATGTGTATCATAGCAGTAATTGGATTTAACACCTCTTCTGGCACAATCTGTATGCTGAGCTGTTTTTAATTTGCAGGAAACACCTCAGACTGTGAGATGATTCCCACCTCTTTCTAAAACACAAGAGAGAGACGGTTAACAAACTCTAAAGAGGGCTAAATAGTAGTTTTATTCAGGTCTGGTTGGATGGGTTCACAGTTCTCACCTTCTCCTTTGCTCTGAGCTCATCAAACATCTGCTGGATCTCTAGCCTCCAGTCTTCCTGTAATGAGTGAAAGGACTCCAGAGGCATCTGAAACATGGAGGACTGCTCGATGGCCTGCAGTCGCCTCAGGATGCTGGTGAACGAAGGCCTTGCACGAGGGTTGGAGCTCCAGCATTCTGAGAGATAAAGATGTTGAAGGAGCTTTAATAAATAGAGCAGGAAGACATTTGAGAAGTGCTCATCATCTTATATAGCAGCATTTAGAGGTATGCCTAATGTTACAAACAACCATGTCAGATTAAATGTTAATAATGTCCATTAAAAGCAGATGTAGATAGAAAATGAAGAAAAACAACATAACTTTAACAAGGTTGCTCATTTCAAGTATCAGGTTGGTTTTGCCACTTTTGTCATCATCAGAAACATTGTTTAGGTTGTAAATCAACAAACGTACTTCTTATCTATGGATCCATCAACATATGGTATTTTTGTGCTAAACATTTGACTAACACAACGAAGCTCATTTTTAAATGAATTCAATCTTTCCTGAAATATATCTCATATAATAATTTCCAACTGTGAGAGAAAAGCGTTTCTCTTACAAAAAGACCCCATGAGAAAGGCTATGCTAGAACGATGCCTTCTGTTCTTTTCTAAAGGATTTCTGTTGAATTATGGAGTTTAATTGAAAAAAATAAAATAAAACAATAAAAGCTCACAGATATTTTTATTAAATTGGCTAAAAATGCATTATAACCCCTGTTTCTATTTATTTTGCATTACCAGTTTTTAGTTGTTGACACTCTAATTATTATCACCACAAATAACATAATTTTAAAAATGTATCTATAATATTTTGTAAAGTAACATGAAATATCCATCATTTATAGTAAATGGTATATAGATCATAAAAACCTAAATGTGTTGGCTGTTAAAGTTAATATGAAGTATCTCATAATTGATGATTGGTAGTTCCCATCAGAGGGGAAAAAACAAAACCACTGAATCCACATGAAAAATATTAGAAACATAAACATTTAACATGGTGTTATGTTTTATCTATTTGTGTGGATGATAATACAACATTTGCATCCTCCCTCCACTTTCTCCCTCTTAGACCTTGTCAGGGTCAGGGTGTCCGGCGGGGTACGCCCTGGACTTTCCGTCGCAGGGCAACACAGAGACACACAAAGACACACATCCATGCGCACACACTCACACCTAAGAAGAATTTAGAGAAGCCAATTAACCTAACAGTCATGTTTTTGGACTATGGGAGGAAGCCAGAGTACCTGGAGAGAACCCACACATGCACAGGGAAAACATGCACAAGTGCAGCCCCCAATATTTGCAGTTACCACAAAGTCTGTAAAACGTACAATATAGTCTGCAATCAATATGATGCATTCTGCCGATCTAACACAAATATTTACATTAGAATAAATGAGAAAAAAAAAACTATTTAACTTGACAATTATATTACTAAACTCTTTCAGGCATATTGTAATAAAATAAATGCATAACAGATCAGCTGATCACTACAGTCTTATGCTTTGTGACTCAAATGTATCCACTCTGGGAGCCAGTTTTAAAAGTACTCGGTTTCCACTCTGGTTTCCACCGATTGAAAGGTGTTTAATATTATTCAAACCAGGCTTTGTCTGGCTGGGACCTAAAATAGTCAGAATTGTACCTGCAGTAGACAGTAACTAGCGTACTCTGAGTTTGCATTGGCGGAAAGAACAAAGTGTTGAGCAAACGACGATTTAGTGTGAGTCCTGGAAAAATTACCTCAAAATGACTTAATCCAACCTAATTAAGTTTATCTAAATGCTGTTTTGTTTAGCTTTTACAAGATTCTCACTTAAGAATAAAGAGGTATTAGTTATTTATTTAGTTGTATCAATTTACTGTATTTCTTTTCATAGTATCGTATTTCAAATAAAACACTAAAGGGAAACTGTTCAGAAGCAGCCTTCAGTGTAAATAGCAGCAGAAGAGCATCGTTAGTTTTAGATGATCTCCAGACTGGAGAATGGCAGTAAGAGAGTATGAAAGCACTCAGGTTCGGCAACTAGGTATGTGCAATTTGGAGGTGTGTGCACCTCAATGCTTCGCAATGTTCATGAGAAATGACCCTGGATCTCACATCATTTTAATAGAAAACAAAGGTCACTTGACAACTGCTTGTCTTTCGGACAAAGCTAGAGCAGCGACTGAACTTATGCTCCATATGAGCTGCTGTGACAAGCATAAAAATGACTTAATAAGGGTGCTGCCAGCATGAAGTTGGTAAGATTAGGCCATGGTCTTAGTGTTAGTAGTTCTTGAAGAAATGGTACGTCTATTTGGCTGATGACCAAGCAATGCTTATCTTCACAGCAACATATCAGGAATGATCCTCCATGCTGCATCAAATACCCAGTTGTGCAGCTTTCACAACAAAGGACCACCAAGACCCCAAAAAAGCATCATCTAGTGAGGACTATAAGTAAGATATTAACAGCTGATAATCAGAGAACCTCACGTAAAAGCATCTCTAGACTCTCCTTTTAAATTTAGCCAAACTACAGATAATAAATATAATGGATTAATAATAATAAAATGATATCATCTCTAGAATTAGAGATGATCTGAAACAGTTGCAACTAAATGATTGATCTAATTTAGTTTGAGTTTCTCTCATTAAGAGCAAACAAAAAAGCTATGTAATGCAACTTTCTACCCAAAAACATGAATTACCAAACTAAATAGTATTTTGCCTCAGATATGCTTTAAATTCACATGCTTATGGTAAAAGATAAATACCTATATAGAACAATCAGATGAAAGGGGCCATGGATTACTGCTTTTTAAAGCAAAATAAAACCTCATCTGTCAATATAATGTACAAAGTCAGGGCGATGGATTGTTGGACTGATTATACTTTTCATTTCTGGCAGGGGAAGCAGACAACAGGGGAAGAGGAGGAAGCAAAATGGTGACAGCATATGGTAACTCTCATAAGCCAAAACCCTGACTGACAGTGTTAGTTAGAGACAACATGCTCCACACCTACAATAAGAAATATACATCCTAACATTTATCAGCACTGTCATCCAGGTTAGTTAGCAAAGAGTCTCAGAAGTTACACTTTTTAACATCATTGAGGAAAATAAACATGTTGCAGGGAGACTCTATAACAAGATATATGAGGAAACAGAAGAGAGGAGACTAGAGGATGGACCTGGATGAGGTAAAGAAGAGTGAGGAGGCAGGAATGAGCTTTGATGTGTTAGAGATAAAATCTGACCTTAAACTTCTTTACCTGTGTTTAAGATGGAGCACAATAGGTCAGGTTTTTTACTGAGTGTTTAAACAGGGATGAGCTGAACTGTGAAACAAGAGCCAGTTAATACTCTACCGTAGTTTATAGGGATGGCTTTCAAAGTAAAAAGCAGGAAAAGACACAAAACAAGACCAACCCTTGACATTTTCAACTCTTATTCTCAGCTCGTGTGAAACAAGAGAAAACCTGCTCACGAAATGAACAAATGCAAGTTTAAAACTTCCAGTACAGAAAGGCCATGTTCAGCAGCTGAAGGGTCCAGCTCACGTTCTGCATCATCACGCTCAAGGTCATTTTAGATGACTGGTGTAAATGGAAATCAGAGAGACAAGCACGATGACAGGTGCATACGGTGTTTATTAGAACGGTATTGGTGCTCCCCACATCTTTGGGTAATTCTAAAAACTTTTGGGTGTTCAGGTAGTGCCTGCTTACCTCTCAGCAGCTGAACAAAAGGTTCAGGGCAGGTTGAGGGGATGGGAAGTGTCAACTTGTTCATGGCAACACCATAAGCTACCGCCAGGGCGTCAATCTCCCGGTAAGGAACTTCTCCGGTCAGCAGCTCCCACAGTAGGACTCCAAAACTGTTATCCAGAACGGACAGAGAAGAGGTCAGCGGGGTTTTTAAGACACACACAAAACCCCTCGCACAAACCGTCCAAAACTACAATCTTAAACCTCATTTAATTTGAATTTTTATGGAATATGTGAACACACACAACCACAATGAATACACCAATTCTTTTGTGAAATACAGTGGTGACAATTTTGAAAATAAAACAGTTTGAGGCTGCAAAAATGTGTGACTGTAGGAGGCTCACCTTCACCAGAAGGTATGGAATTTACCAATTCCATACCTAAATTAAGAGTATTTGATGAAACTTCAGAGTAACTCACCATCTAATCTGATTTTTTAGAAAGAAGAATGGGGGGGAATGTGTCTTCCTTGGTGATAAGAGTTGATCATACTAAGCATACTGTTTATAGCAAACACAACATTACCATTTTACAGTGGTTCTGATAATTAAAAGGTCCTTCAGTTGCTGTTTTGGACACAGGTTGCTGCTTTACCCATTCTTTAAACTGATTTAGTCCACCCTAGAAGATTATGACAAGTTCTGCCTCCTTGAAAGCAAAGAAATTAGGAATATTTTAAGAAACACTTGAAATATTCTAATCTAACCTTGCAGCTGGCTCTGTGCAATTTGGAGGTGTGTGCACCAAACTGCTTAGCAATGTCAGAGGAATCAAAATCAGCCGACTCAGAATCAAGTTTATGGCCCAGTAGGTTTGCACTTACAAGAAATTTGACTTGGTGTTGATGGTGCAGACAATTAAAATATATAGAGAGAATACAGAATCTATAGTTATATATGATATAAAACATGCAATATACTATATAGAATATATAGTATATAGTTTTATAGTATATGCACAGTAGACTGTGCGTTAAAGTAACACAGGAGGTTTGGAGATGCTACATTGGTGTAGCTTCTAGGTCCTGAACGGGGGAGGGAGAGAGACAGTGTCTCTGGGCGTTATTGCTAAGGCTGGTAGCAGATGGGAAGAAACTGTTCTTGCAGCATGAGGTTTTGGTCCCGATGGACTGCAGCCTCCTGCCAGCTGGAAGTGACTGAAATAGTTTGTGGCTGGGGTGCGAAGGATCAGCCACAATCTTCCCTGCACGCCTAAGAGTCCTGGAGGCATACAAGTCCTGGAAAAATGGAAGATTGCAGCCAAACACCTTTACCATGTGCAAGATGTCTCACCATGGGACTCTCATCATTTTAATAGAAAGCAAAGGTTAGGTCTTTCAAACATAATAAGAGCAGGTCCTGAAGTTATGGTCCATAGGATCTGATGTGAAAAGCCTAATAGCATAACAACTAAGGGAGCTGCCAGCAGGATGTAAGATAGGTTGTAGTCTTGGTGTGGGTATATCATGGAAAAAAGGTACATCAATTTGCCTTATGACCAAGTAAATCTTATCTTCACAGGGATGTCTCTGGAATATGTCATAATACAGCATCATAGGACCCAGTTCTGCAGCTATCAGAATTATGGACCTGCTTTCTGTATAAACTTCACCAAACTACAGAAAACAAAAACAAAGATCAAATTGAACTGAAACAGAGGCAATTAACTTACTGGGCTAACTTAGTTTAAATTTCACTCATATTTTTATTTAACATATTTTAAATGCTTTTGTTTGAAAAAAATCTTAGAAGTTATATAGTGCAAGACAGATAGACTTTGATACCTCCACACGTCGCTGCTCTTGGAAAACATAGAATGCTTGATGACCTCTGGGGCCATCCAGGCGTAGGTCCCCGCTGCACTCATCTTGGTGGTCTGGTGCCACTCCCTGGCCAGACCAAAGTCTGTAATCTTCAGGACTTTCCCATGCAGGTCGTCCCCTTCCACCGGCTCCAGGATGAGGACTGTGGAAGAGGAGATGGAGTAAGAGAAAGAGCAAACAGATTCAATTAGAAGTTTGTTTATTTTAAAAGAGAACATTTAGTTATTATAATCAAAAAAGTTCTGGTCTTTCCTTAATACATGTAAAAGATTAAACAAAAAACAGTAATCAACAGTAAAAAAGCACACATTATATCAACCATATGCTGCAAATATTATAGTTGAACTATAAATAAGTGAGATGTGGACATATCAAAAAACACGACTCTTTTGCCACAGTTAAAAATCAGGTTTTTAATTAAGGCAAAAGTTTATTAAATCATTTAGTATAAGAAAGTAATTTAAAAAAAAATTATGTTAATATGTCAACACAGTAAATATTAGCAGGAAGCAAGAAAATTAAATGGCAGAATATATGATTGTTCATTTATTTGAAATTAAAAAAACACAATTTATATTCAAAACCAGATATGTACAAACATGACAAAAAGAAAAAAAAAGATTCACAACCTTAATCCTTTTTTTTCTTCATTAGATAAAGATAAAGCATTAATTCAAATACATATTAGAAAAAGGTAAATAAGTCTGAAATGAGGTTAGGAAGGGAACCGTGGATCTAAATTATCCTTGAAACCATCCTAAAACCTGAAGGTTTCTCTTTCATCCATTTAAATTGTTACATCCAACTGTTTATAGCATGAGAATGTCCAGCACATCCAGTCCTAAAGGCTTTGATATAAATAAATACAGTATTGTAAAACAGCTATAAACAACATAAGAAATAAATAACTGAAAAAATAACTAAAAACCAAAAAAAAAAAAAAATAGCCTATATTTGTGCATTCTTCTACACAATCCTACACATCGATTTATGGGTTGTTTTGGATTGCATTAAGTGTTGTTATATCTGTAGGATGAAACCGATTAGTTCTTATGACTGCACCATCTACCTGAAGTCAACAAAGCAAACAGAGAATGTCCAGTGTGAGAAGAGTCTTTTGTGATACATTCTGCTGTTTAAATGTTTGAGCCAAATTTAAAAGTCAATTATCTACCACACTCTAAGGAAATATACGTCAACTTCTGGAACACGTCAAGGTTAAAAAACAGAAGCACTCTTTTCTTTTGGCATTTAGAAAACATATCATTTTGTTAACCCTAACTGACCAAAATGGGAATTTATGTCAAAAAATGAATTCACAAAAAAAGTTTGTGTCATTTAGCTGAATTCTATGGATCTATGTTTGCACTGGCAGCTTTTTTTTTATTGCCTTTGGCTCTGCTCCAATCCTGGGTCATTTCTGTCCACTGAAAGTCACTATCACATATAGCCTCTTTCTAAATGTCACCCTCTCAGCTGATCTCCCTGTATTTGTCCCTCTCTGTGTGACTTCCTCCTCCGCTTCCGTGTGAGAGTCGGCTTATGGAAATGTTTGGAGTGCACATAGTTTGGCTGCAGTCAGGTGAGGGTAGCGTTCCCTGTTCCTTTCCCTCCCTTACTTATCTACAGGCATATGCAAAGGGCGGTGAAACAAGGAGACACACAGCCGTGTCATTGTTTACACACACACACTCTCTCGCGCACACAGAACACACACACACACAAAAAAACCTCACGTGATGAAAGGTGTGCCTTTTCTCCCTCCACAGGTTTGCTAGGAGACCAGTTTCACCAACAGAAAACTGATCTCAGGTCAGGTTATGCTGACAGCACATTAGAAATTATTCATTTAACCAACACAGTGCTTAAGTTCACTTCTATATTGCTTTTATATCATAAAATTTTGGTTTCTTCATAAAGGAAAACACCAAAAACAGCTTTAATAAATTATTTATCCTGGTTGTACCACCTCTACCCCCCCAACACAAACAGCACTCACCCACTCAGACCATGTGTTGACTCGCTTTGACTTCCCTGACACCCTGACATTAACCATAACCTAACCATTATTACAGTAGTGCATACCCAACCTTAAACTAAACTAATTTCACACCTTAGTCCTAAACTAAACCGCAAAAAAGGAAGTGAAATATCTACTTTGGTACAAACGGTCCTCAATTTTATTGTGTAATTGAAAAGTGGTCCTCACACCAAAACATGAGCACACCCACACACTCGCTCTTTGCAAGAGCAATAATGACTGAACTGACTGTAATATCTGCATAGTGAAAGTGTAAAAATAACCTTTCCCCAATTTAAAGTTGAAATTTTAAATTGCTTTGCCTGATGAGGAATCTTCATCAGGTTTCAAGACGTGGTAACAAGTGAAGGTATAGCCATGTGAAAAATGAAAATGAGGAGCTTTAAATTCAGTAAGTCTGGTGATTTTTTTATTGATCTTTAGAAAATGCATTTAGTTATCATTAAAGATCAAACCTTGTTTTACTTTATTATGATATATAATCACTTAAATTGTTAAACCTAACAAAAAAGAAAGGTTGACACCCCCTGCTCCCTAACAGCTCCTCTTACTCCCTATGTCTGGCATGGCTTCGGTGAGAATACCATCACTGTATCAGTCCAAGGATTACTATGGGCTGTTAGATGTTTGAGGGGTTTGAATGCTCAGCTTATTTAAAATCATCCCACTAAATCTCAGCATAATCAGGATCTAGGTTTTGACTCTGCTGATGAGTCAATGCTTCAGGGTCCATCTCTGCTTCACTTTTAATGTTTTACGAAGGCTTTCCTTACGCAACCTCTGTTATACTGTACTTATGTTGGATTTTGTCACACTGCGCGGGTCGTGTCCTGCTGCAGCAAGCTATCCAAAACCATGACACTCCAATCTACATGCTTGAAAGTTATCAGGTTATCTTCGAAAAATGTTGTCTTATTTTTTTTTGGTACTTATTCCATTTTAAACGAATCTGCCCAAAGTGACCTACTCAAGATGCCCCTGTCCAGTGTTTATGTCCTTCTCTAAAAGAGCCAAGGATTTCTCCTTCCACACCGTACATGAAAGTTATACTTGTACTCTCCTTCTGAGTTTACAGGTTTTAAACAAATAGTCTTGTTTTTGCCTTTTGTTCAATCCATCCATTTTTTTACAAGCTTAATCCCAAGTGGGGTCAGGAGCGGTGCCTATCTCCAGCTGTCTACGGGCGAGAGGCAGGATACAACCTGGACAGGTTGCAGGTCCATCGCAGGGCAACACAAAGACAAACAACCATTCATGCACACAGTCACACCTAAGGACAATTTAGAGAAGCCAATTAACCTGACACTTATGTTTTTGGACTGTGGGAGGAAGTACCAGAGAACCCACGCATACTAGGGAGAACATGCAAACTCATGCAGAAAGACCCCGGGCTGGGAATGGAACCCTGAACCTTCTTGCTTCAAAGCAGCAGTGCTACCGACTGCACCACTGAGCAGCCCTATGTTCAATCCATGGCTCTTGATATGATCTACAGTGTGTGTGGAACTGTAGCATAACACTTGCAGGTGGTATGATTTGAATGATCAAATTTCAGCTGTGCTGTATGATTAGGGCTGTTGCTCTATTGGAAGGTGAACTTTCATTGCAGCCTCTAATGCTACGTTTAGATTGCACGCTGCTGAAACAGCTGGTTTAAATGCAAAGTCTATGGTTGACGTGCATCAAGGCACATCAAAAGGAGCAGAAGCAGGAGCAGTGCATCTTGAACCGCGGGGGTACGGGGGTCTGAGCAGCTCCGTCAGCAAAATAATATTTGAAGGCAGGATCGTAATCTTGATGAAGTGACAGCACAGATGATGTTTTTGGGTGAACTGTCTCACTTAAAAACATATTAAAATTACTTTTTACCCACTGATCACGGCAAATATAGCAAAGCCACTCTCTGCTATGGAACAGAGTAGCAGCTAAAGTATCAGATGCATCTGGACACCCTTAAATGGACGCGCTTCAGGAGCGTCAAAGATGCTCTTGAGGTGCCTCAGACCTTGATGTGTAAAAGCATAAAAAATGAAGCAGCAGAAGCTCTTTGCTGCCTCTATTGCAGGTTGAACGTAGCATAACAGTGATTCCTCTTGGATTTCCATGTGTTAACCTCCATCTATCTTCCCGTTAACCCTGACCAGCTTCCCCTGTCACTGCTGAAAAAAATATTATTACCACAGCATGATGCTTCCACCACCATGATGTCTGCTGTGTGTGCTGTGCTGCCACCATCTTTATTTATAGATGTTGAAGATCAGCCTGTTTTTCCAGTGTAGTCCTGTTTCTCTGACTGTGACTGGCTGGGTGTGCTCTCTTCATCCTCTGACATGGGAGTTTGCTCAGAGCTCGTCTGACTGGCTGTGTTTCCTGGACCGGGCCGCCTTTTACAGTTGCCTTTTATATCTCTGCTTCTGTCTCCTTGAACCCCAATCGGCTTCAGCAGATGGCCGCTCAGCCTGAGCCTGGTTCTGCTGGAGGTTTCGTCCTAAAAGGGATTTTTTCCTCTCCACTGTCGCTACAACCATACTTAGTGTGAGGGATTGCATTCGATGCAATCAACTGGTTTTCCTTAGATAGAAAACTTTGACTCAATTTGACTGTTTGATGAACTGTAAAGTACTTTGAGATGACATGTGTTGTGAAATAACGCTATATAAATAAACTGAATTGAATTGTGATCCTTATGCTGATTGATCACCTCTGTTCTCCAATGCCCTTAAAGAATAGCTGCATCTAAATTTATCACTACTCACTGGACAACTATAGGCAAGAACTGAAACTGGATTCTGTGTCTAAAATGTATTAAAAAGTCAAATACTGACATATCTGCTATAAATATCAAATAATTTATCAAAATAAAAAGCTGTCAAATTAGTCCAAAAATAAAATACTTATACTTCCAGGGGTAAACAGCCCCAGTCCTCCTCTGGACGTCTTTTCTGTTCAGATATTGTCAGAACTTAAAGGGACACCTGTCATTTTGGAGCTGACTGTTTCTATATCTGTGTCTCAGACGATCAACATCTGGAGGCAAACATGTTCACACAGACAAATGCCAGGATGTTTTTTTTTTCCTTATAGTCTTTATTAACTAGTTT